AATAGGCAATTCGAATAAGTATTCTTTCATGCATTATAGATAGCAAGGGCTTGAATTAAAGTATTTTCTTATCGAAGCAATTATGGGACTTAGACCAAAAAGGGGCCGTTTTTTTGAAATTAAGTAATTTTATGAATTATAGATAGAAAGGATTGAAATTAAGTACATTTTTTTCTATGATAAATTGTAGATAGAAAGGGTTGAAATGGTGATTTTTTATGAAGTTATAGGTAGACAAGCGTTTGAAAAGTACTTTTTAATGAAAATTGTAGATGGAAGATTGTAGGTATTTTTTATGATAACTTTATAGATAGAAAGGATTGAATTAAGTAATTTTTTTATGAAATCCCCTATACGATAATCAAGGATTGATTAAGTATTTCTTAATGTAAATATAAGAATAGAAGGACTTGAATTAAGTATTTTTTATGAAAAATTATAGATAGAAAGGATTAATTAAGTATTTTATGAACAATTATAGATTAGAGACTTGAATAAGTATTTTTTATGAAATTATAAAAGGAAGGATTGAATAAGTATTTATAATAAAATTATAGATTAGAAGGGTTTGAATGAAGTGAATTTATGAAATTAATAAGATAGAGGATTGAAGATTAAGTATTTTTATGGAACATTAATGGATAGCAAACGGCTTGAATTAAGTATTTTTATGAAAATTATAGTAGTAAGGTTGACTTAAGTATTTTATTGAAAATTTATGATAGAAGGAATTGAGATTAAGTATTTTTATGAAAATTAATAGATAGAACAAAGGATTGAATTAAGTATTTTTATGTAAATAAATAGATAGAAGGATTGAATTAGTATTTTTAATGAATTATAGATAGAGGAATAATTAAGTATTGTTTTATGAATTATAGATAGGAAGTTGAATAAAGTATTTTTTTGAAATTAATAGAAGGAAGGATTGAATTAATGTATTTATATAATTATAGATAGAAAGGATTGAATGGGAAGTGAATTTTATGATTAAGATAGAGTTGATTAAAGTATTTTTATGACAATTATAGATAGAAGGATTTGAACTTAAAGTTTATTTTATAAAATTATAGATAGCGAAGGTTGAACTGGTGATTTTTTATGACAGTTATAGGTAGCAAGAGTTGACAAGTATTTTTATGACAATTATAGATAGCAAGGAGGATTAAATATTTTTTTTATGAAATTATAGATAGCAAGGCTTGACTTAGGTATTTTTATGACAATTATAGATAGCAAGGCTTGACTGAAGTAATTTTTATGACAATTATAGATAGCAAGGCTTGACTTAAGTATTTTTATGAACAATTATAGATAGCAAGGCTTTGACTTAAGTATTTTTTATGACAATTATAGATAGCAAGGTTTGGACTTAAAGTATTTTTTATGACAATTATAGATAGCAAAGGTTGCCTTAAGTATTTTTTATGACGATAGCAAGCTTGACTTAAGTATTTTTTGACATTATAGATAGCAAGGCTTGACTTAGGCAAGACTTGACTTAAGTAATTTTTTATGACAATTATAGATAGCAAGGCTTGACTTAAGTATTTTTATGACAATTATAGATAGCAAGGCTTGACTTAAGTATTTTTATGACAATCATAATAGCAAGGCTTGACTTAAGTATTTTTATGACAATTATCTAGCAAAGGCTTGTTGATGTTAATTTAAGAAATGTATTCTTAAATATTACTTTTACTGTTATGTTTTCTTGAAAGAAGGACACATATTGTATTTATTAATAATGAGCTTGAATGGATATCAAGGGATATGTAAAGATGTAATATTTTGTAAAAAAAAAAAAAAAAAAAAAAAAAAAAAAACATATTTATTAAAGTTCTTTCGTATATATGTATCTTGAGGAAAAAACATGTACGATAAGAATGTAACTTTGTATTTTGTAATACATAAAGGGAGTAAATAGTATAATTACATATGACTGATAATAATTTAAACATTTTTATAAAAAGAGGAAATATAAAAAAAAACATGGCAACATCAGAAACAACCAACAACAATTTTGTACATTATATGTATATATATATATATATATATATATATATACATATATATATATATTTCGGTACACTTTCTGGGTCCCACTTTTGTACCTCTGGCAACAAGTCGAAGTAAACATAGCGTAAATAGTATTTTTGTGAATGATGCTAAAACCCTAGGTAGTTTGTAACAAAGAGTGTGATTGGTCGAAAATAAGTAACCAAT